CATTACACAATTAAAACCTTCAATAACTTTATCAAATCATAACGGATTTTTGCAAAACTTGGTACAGGAAGTATTTTAGAGTGATTGAATGTAAATACAAAAATAAAAGTCAAATTTTTTAAATTCGAAATGGCGGATTCAATATGGCGGACTTTCCTAAAACTTATTTTTAAAAATGATCAAATTTGCTAACTCCAAATTCGTAATCAGCGACCCTGAAACCCCACGAGTAACAATTTTCGAGCGAATCCAATGAATTTTTTAATTCTCATCCGCCATATTGGATCCGCCATTTTAAATTTTGAAAAACTGACTTCAAATTGGTAATCAGCGACCCCAAAAACCCTAGAATACCAAATTTTATTAAGATCCTGATAAACTTTTATCAACAAACCATTTGGCAAAAAAAGTGGAACACTCCTTTGAGAGAACAGAGATTAAGTTTCTGCTTATTAATTACTAACGAGGATACATATATTGGAGCCGCATTAAGCTGTACTTTAGATATTGTTTCATTGATTTCTTTAAAAAGTTTTTCTGGAAAATACGCAACTAAAATAACAAACAACTTAGTAATTGGATTAAGCGAAAAATATGTAATTAAAAGTAGTTTATCAAGAGTAGCAAGTGCCACTAAATTAACTATATTCTATCAAATTTCAAAAGCGCTGGCTAGAACCGTTTCGCAGGAAATTCTTACCAAGCAACTGTTAAAAGATGTATCTATTGCCTTAATACAATTGATAGATCCTGGATTTAAATTAGTTTTCAAGTTAAGCAAATTGGGCTCCAAACTATTCCACAAGATGTATAACACTATGATTCAAAAAATTCCAAAGATTTCAATGAATAAAAATCTAAAATTGTTATTAACAACTATGTTAAAAAAGCTGAATACTAATATTGAACTACCAATCACAACTAATGGTCTGATGCCAAAGGTTCTGCATGAAGAGAAGAATTATAAACTCTTTTTACATTATTATCCCGGCGGTGAACACTTTTTTGGACCAAAATTCATATCATCATTTGAAAATACTGCAGAACTAAGAACCATTGAAGGCAATCTATTACCAGTTCCCGTGTTGCCAATAAAAGATAACACGAACAAAATTTCCTATCGTGTATATAATCCAGAAACTAATTAAATTTCTAATTTGAAATTTGAAATGGGAGAAAATGATCTACCCCGAAGTAACATGCCTTATCTTAATTCAAATGCAGATAGGTAAATAATACCCACACTACCGGGATCTGGACAACCTGCTATAAAAGGAAGTTTGCCAACTGATAATATTCCTTCAACATCAAATGGATTAAATTTGGAAAATTCGAGAGCAACTGGACAACATATTGTTAAAGGAGAATTGCCAACTGATAATATTCCGTCTACTTCAAATGGATTAAATTTGGGAAATTCGAGGGCAACTAAATAACATATTGTTAAAAAAGAATTGTATTCAACAGAAAGTTTGCCAAATGCTGATATTTCTAAAATGGGAAAAAAGGAAATTATTCAAAGACTTTTGCCTTATTTTAATCTACATGGAGATATGAAAATAATAAAAGATTATCAAGTTTATCATAATACGATTGAATGGAATAAGACACCAGTGAAACCAGGTACATCACGAAAAATTTTGCCAAGTGGTAATATATTCTTGATACTTCGAGGCAATTTGAAGAATTAGTTTTGAGTAACCACCAATCTAAACTTTGGTATGGTGAAAAAAATTATCGTGAAATGTTATTTTCTTTAGAAGATTTAAAACCTGAAAATTGGGCTAATTTATACAAAAATAAGGAAAGATTAATAATGTTACAAAAAAATTTAGAGAGAATACGTTGGAGTCAAGACATAGTAAAGTGTGAAAAGCCAAAAGAACTGTGGTTTAAACAAACATTAGACAAACCACAAATTGTTGATAATTTGAAGGCAATGGATGGAGAAGATTTTTATTTCAATGATATTACCCTATTGACAGATATTCATCCCAGTGAAATTAATCTTGTTAATAAAAATTCACATTTCATAACAGAAGTTCGTTATCACATGACAATTGATTCTCAATATGGACTTGTTGATTTGGCAGCATTTGATAAGAGTTGAAAAAACCAATTTGTTGTTTATCCATAACTCCCATTTTCGGTAGTAAATGCTGAATTCAAAAATGGAAGGGATTTCTTACTTTTAGAACTAAAACAAAAGCCAATATTGGAATTCGATTGGCAGATATATAAAATAAAAAGTAATTATTTACTTAACACTAAAGAAATATCTACATTTACAGTCTGATTCCATTCCATCAAAATTCGAAACACTCTCTACCACGCTGCTGAATTAAGTCCTTAAGATTGGAAAGAACTAGTATCACTTAAATACTATCGTAATCGTTTTAAAATAAATAATGTTGCTTTTTATGCCAATGCTGAAGATGCTGTAGAAAATACTCCCATTACTAATGTTTTTAATCCCTTACTATTAACTTAATTGGAAATTAAAAATCCATCAGGAATAGTTTACATTGATTCTAATTATTTCCAAGTTCCCAAGGAAATGTATTATATTCCTGATGTACTAAATTTTAAAAATTTTGGAAAAGTGAAAACATCAATTAATGATTTTGATTTTGTCACACTTGTAATGTAGGAGATTGAAATCCTAAAAGAAACACGAATGGTTAAATTGGTAAATAAGTTAAATGAATTATTTTTAAATGATAATTTTTACATTAATCTAAATCCACGAGAAAGTAAAATTTTTAAAAATTCAATTGAAACTGAACATCCAATTATTAGAAAAGGGTTACCAAGTGATAATATTCCGTCAACTTCAAGGGGAACTGAACAAATTACTACGAAAGGAAATATGCCAACTGATGATTTTGACAAAAAATTAAAATCTTATAAAGAAGTCTGGTACAAGAGTTGTACTGAGATATTAGTGGAGTTTGAAAAAAATGGAATTTCTAATTTGAAAGACAATAAATTAAATTTGTATAAAATTCGAAGCTTTATGGAGACATTATCAAAATTGCAGAATATTATAATTGATTTTAAACTTCCAAGAGAATTATGGTTTACAGATAAATCAGTGATACGTACTTTTATTACAAAATTGGAGAAATTAAAAGGAAAAGAATTTTATTTTAATGATCTTACATTTTTAACAGATATTCCAGCCATTGAATCTAAAAAATTGGCAAAATTTTCCTTAGAAAAGGAAGTACGTTTTCATATAAAGATAAATTCTCAATTTGGACTCGTCGATCTTTCTGAATTTTAGAATACTTTAAAAAACCAATATATTGTATTTCCCGAACTTGAGTTCATTGTAGAGAATACTTATTACATTAATGGAAATTCTATTTTACAAATGGATTTAGTACAAAAACCAATAGAGAAAGAGAAATGGATTAAAATTAGAGAAGAAAATTCAAAGTTAATTAACAGTGTTGAAGTAGGACAATCAATAAGAGGTTTAGATATTGAAGATGCTGCATATTTTATATCCACAAAAACACCTCTACATAGATATACTGATTCCAAAAAAATGTTAGAAGAATACATTTTAAAAACAAGTTTTAGTCAAAGTTCAATTCCATCTTATGAGTCATTGGCAAAAGAAATTTTTGCAGGCGGTTCAATTCCAAGTATATATAGCAAATATAAAATAAAAAATAACATTTTTATTAATGATGTACTATTTCAATATTCTTTATATGAAGTTAAAAATTTAGAAGCCGCTCAGAAAACGATTGAGAAAATATTTGATGGTCTTCTTCTTTACAGGAGGTGGAACCTGTATTTGAAAGTTACAAGAAAACAATAGGAATTCCAAATAATATGCGATTTGAGGATTACTTCGTTATTTTTTCATATTTTTCTTGTAATTTAAAACGAGATATAAATTGGCAATAAAGATTTTATGTTGCATTAATGAGATTGGCCCTAAGACAATGTAATGAAGATATTATAAAACACCAATTACACTTTATCATGCACTTAATGTTCCTAATAGAAATTACATTAAAATGTTAACAAGTGGAAAAAATACAATTATACCATATAATTCAGATAATCCATTTCATGCGACTCAAGAAGCGACTATGAAATACATTCCAAATACCTCCGATAAAAAAATATTATTCAGTCAAGTGGAATTAAATAATATAGCTGGAATTGCATATATTGATCCGGATTTTAAATTTCCAACAAAGCTAGAATATTATACTCCACAAAGTTTAGAATTGAAAAAAGATAGAATAATTACTAAAACTATTGAAGGGAAGAATGTTAATTTTATTGTACTTAACGATGATAAATTTATAAATGAAAAGCGTATGGTTAAATTAGTCAACAATTTAAATGATTTATTTTCATCGGATATTATGTTTTACATTAATGATATTTAAATTATATTCGTGTAACTGAAATTGTTTTTTTTCAATATTAGCAGTCTTTTAAATATATAATTTTTTCATTTAATAATTGCTTTTTTTTAACTGGAAATTTTGCATTTAATATATAATAATTTATCTCATTTTATTGTAAATTCCTGTGCTCTATATATGTATATAATCTTAAAATCGCAGACATTGAAAAATCTTAACAAATAAATTGCAATTATAGAAATAACTGATTTACAATTTTCTATTAAAAAGAATCCATTATGAAAAAAATAATATCAAAGTATCGATTACAGGTGTAATTCTATGTGTAACAATATTCTTAAATTTTTCGATAAAACCATTGGCCAAATTTACACGTGTGTTGAATTTTATTTATTGTAGATAAAAATAATTTATTTAAATTTTGATAAATTATTCATTTCCCAATATTTCAAATTTTAAAGCTATCATAGGCGTAAAAAAATCAGACCTTGAAATAATGTCAGTTTCTCAATACAAGGTCAAAAATTAGCATAAACAAACTGAGCATACGAAAATATAGTTACATAAAACATTGTTCAAATCATACATTAAAATACTATAAATATCGAAAGAAATTTTAATTCTTTTATAATTATCTTCTGGACACTATTAGTTGAAGTTGCTGTTTTACAATAAGGGTTCTTATTTTCAGTAAGTAAATACCTAGAAAATTTACACTTTAGTGTATTTAATAAAATGTTGTTAACTGCGTCAAAGATTTTTAATGGTTCAAATTTTTCTATAATCTACAATGTTTCGATGGGAATTTAAATTCAAACCATATGAAAAAGAAGCAAATATACTTTGGCAGATCATAATCTGAGCAAAATTAATTACGTTTATCTCAATTATGATTTAAAATAAAATATATTGCAACTAATTTGTCCAGTATGATGAAAAAAAATAATAAATACTGCTTAAATAGTGATTACTTAGTTGATTTGTGAAAGAATTATGTTAAATTAGTTTAATAAATGATAAAAACGCAAATTAATTATTTATTAATTAGTGTTTAATTAAACATAATTGTAACACAACTAAAGATAAATAGTGAGTAATTAAAAGAAATTTATCATTTTTTTCATCAAACTTCACTAATTAGTTGCAATATTTTCATGTAAATAAAACTTGAGTGAAACCTAATCAAATAAATTCAGAGAATGATTGTGATAATCTGCCACAGTAAGGCAATCATAAATAAGAATTAACAAAATTAAACAAAATATCAAAATAATTATTTCAGATCTCCTAAGGAAAAATAAAAACTGTTATAAAAGTGTTACATACAACAGCAACATTAAAAAAATTAAAAAGTACAACGTAAAGCAAATCGGAGTATGATGAACGACACATCAGTTTTCGTACAACTTCCACCAAACATACAATATCTATCCGTTTGTCACTATATTACAACTCTCGGAATTATCTTTTACAACGAAAGCCTCATTACATTAAATCAGCGAAATCAGTCTGTTCCTGTACTAAATACTTATTTTAAATACCTTAATAATTCCAACAATGAAACTGAAACAAAACTCCAGCTTCTACAAACAATATTAAAAGGAACCGATCTCTACGGTGGTGGCGAAAATGAAACACTCGATACGAAATACGTAGATGAAACATATCAGTACTTCATCAGCACTGCTCTATTTTCTCACTATGGCAATATTGACGCATATTTAGCAGGAATAATCAACAAGGCAAATAATACATCTTATTCCGCGCTTATGAAAACAATAGGGCGGGAACTCTTTAACAATTACAAAAGTATAGATTATTGTTCAAAAACAAATAAAAGCTCGAAACTTAATATTTTGTCAGCTAAAAAAATTTTTTTTGAATATATTCTTCCAATATTTCCCGAACCAGAAAATCAAGATATGAACATAATGAGTGTAGATTATCTATACGCAATGGCTGGTTTAAAAATTGTCAGATCTATACTTGGAGAAAAAATAAACGTTTCGTTTGATAATTATATTTCAATATCACGAGAGATTGATTTTCAGGCGTCTTATGGTAACGAATCTTATGAAATGGTGTTTAATCTTTTTTCAACACCGGCATTATTTTTTTACGCCACTAAGGAAAAAGAAGCATTCAGAAAAAAAAATCAAACTTTATTAAATGCAGAAGTTCGAAATGAAGCTTATGATATTTTGTTTTCACATATTAATATAACAATAAATGAAAGTATAAATCGAACCTTACATAACAATCTTTTTTACAGATTTCGCAAGGAAATGAAAGATTTAAAATATCGTCCATTTATTGCGACAAATATACTTGAAAAACATTGTAACTATTCTCATTATAAAAATAATTTACCTCAATCTGTGAATAATTATATGTCATACAATCATTACATTGTAAGATTGGCTCTTCCCACTGGTTGTTTTCTAGACAATCTTCCCAATTTGGAAGATGTCTATAGGAAACAGTTTGAAAATGTAGGAAACACATATTATGAAATTGAAAAGATTTTGATAAGAAAAGTTTTAGACGATAATCATTTAATAGAAATATTAAACAGAAGAAGTACTGTTAGTCTTGCACGAGTTCCAGATTATCCAATGTACATGACGAACATACCACCTATGGCAATAAAGATAAACCCCAACGTAACCCTAATGTTTGCAATTAAAAGAAGAGAAAAAACAAATTTTTACGCATTTATATATAACGATACATTACCAACATTACTCGTAAGAAGTAATAACGAACAAGAATTTGGTAAATTAGTTGCAAATGATCCAAATGCAGAAATGGAATTAAATATAGTTCAAAATAAACTTAAATCCGCTCATGAAGATAGCGAAGTATTTATTGAAAGGTTTGCCAACGTAAGAAAAGCAAACTTTTTAAAAAACCTAATGCATCAATATAGAAATGAAACTACAAAAGAGAAGGTTTTTGATTTTTTAATAGCATTTATACCTTTTTACAGTTGTATTGAAAGCATACAAGAGAATGACAAAGTTGGAGCCGCATTAGGCTGTACTTCAGATATTGTTTCATTGATTTCTTTACAAAGTTCTTTTGGAAAATACGCAACTAAAATAACCAACAACTTAGTAATTGGATTAAGCGAAAAATATGTAATTAAAAGTAGTTTATCAAGAGTAGCAAGTGCCACTAAATTAACTACATTCTATCAAATTTCAAAAGCGCTGGCTAGAACCGTTTCGCAGGAAATTCTTACCAAGCAACTGTTAAAAGATGTATCTATTGCCTTAATACAATTGATAGATCCTGGATTTGAATTAATTTTCAAGTTAAGCAAATTGGGCTCCAAACTATTCCACAAGATGTATAACACTATGATTCAAAAAATTCCAAAGATTTCAATGAATAAAAATCTAAAAATGTTATTAACAACTATGTTAAAAAAGCTGAATACTAATATAGAACTACCAATCACAACTAATGGTCTGATGCCAAATGTTCTGCATGAAGAGAAGAATTATAAACTCTTTTTACATTATTATCCCGGCGGTGAACACTTTTTTGGACCAAAATTCATATCATCATTTGAAAATACTGCAGAACTAAGAACCATTGAAGGCAATCTATTACCAGTTCCCGTGTTGCCAATAAAAGATAACATGAACAAAATTTCCTATCGTGTATATAATCCAGAAACTAATGAAATTTCTAATTTGAAATTTGAAATGGGAGAAAATGATCTACTCCGAAGTAACATGCCTTACCTTAATTCAAATGCAGATAGGAAAATAATACCCACACTAACGGAATCTGAACAACCTGCTATAAAAGAAAGTTTGCCAACTGATAATATTCCTTTAACATCAAATGGATTAAATTTGGAAATTTCGAGGGCAACTGGACAACATACTGTTAAAGGAGAAATGCCAACTGATAATATTCCGTCTACTTCAAATGGATTAAATTTCCAAAATTCGAGGGCAACTAAACAACATATTGTTAAAAAAGAATTGTATTCAACAGAAAGTTTGCCAAATGTTGATATTTCTAAAATGGGAAAAAAGGAAATTATTCAAAGACTTTTGCCTTATTTTAATCTACATGGAGATACGAAAATAATAAAAGATTATCAAGTTTATCATAATACAATTGAATTGAATAAGACACCAATGAAGACATCGGGTACGTTACAAGAAAGAGTGCCAAGTAATAATAATAATGATAATACGAAGGGATCTGAAGAATTGGTTCATTATAATACGAATAATGGGGATAATAAACTAATGAATTCTGCTAACTCAGGAACTTCAGAAGAAAGCTTGTCAGCATTAAGTCATTTTTATAGTCGTGGATTAGGTGATAACATTAGGGCTAGATTTATGTTTGGTGATATTGAGTATGGAAAAATTTTATTAGCTATAAAAGATTTAAAATATGGAAATTTTGCTAATTTATACAAAAATAAAGTAAAAGTTTTATTAATAAAAAAGAATTTAGAGAAGATACGAAGCATTCAAGACATAGTGAAGCATAAAATGCCAAGACACTTGTATTTTAGTCAAACATTAAAAGAACAAAATATTGTCAAATATTTGGAGCAACTGAAAGGAAAGGACTTTTATTTTAATGATATTACCCTTTTGACAGATATTCCACATGGTGAAATTAAACTTCTTAATAAGGTATCGGCGAATCCGTTAAAAACAGAAGTTCAGTATCAAATAAAAATTAATTCTCAATATGGACTTGTTGATTTGGCGGAATTTGAAACGGGTTTTAGAAACCAATTTGTTGTTTTGCCAGAACTGGAATTTACAGTAGAAAATACTGAATTCGTAAATGGAAAAGATTTTTTACTTGTAGAACTAAAACAAAAGCCAATATTGGAATCCGATTGGTTGCAAAATAGAAAGAACTATGATATTTTACTTCAAAATAAAGAAATAACTACATATGAAAGAAGTGTAAATATTGAAAATGCAGCTAATCTTATCTCATTAAATACTCCTCTGCATAGATTAACTGAAATGGAAGAAATGTTAAAAGGTTACATTTTAAGAATCGATCCAATTGAAACTCGTGTTCCTACTTATGAAATGTTGGCAAAGGAAATAAATACACGTATTACACCTTCTGAAATATTTAACGAATGGCAAATAACGAATCATATTTTTATTGACGATGTACTATTTGAAAAGTCTTTATATCAGGTAAAAAATTTGGAAGATGCGAAAAAAACAATAGCCAATATTTTTGATAAGACATATGAACAGAATGTTGAATCTGTGTTTGAAATTTTTAATTCACATACAAATGAGCATAGTATGCTATTTGAGGATTATTATGTATGGTATTCACATTTAAAGGGAACTTTACCAACAAGTCTACATGCAAATACAAGACTTAATGCTGCATTAAACAGATTGGCTCTTAGACAGTGTGATGATAAATTTATTCAATTTCCAAGTACTCTTTATTTTGCTAAGAAATATGATGGTGATATTAGTCAAAGTCTTGAAAATATTCCATTTTATTCTAATGTAAAAGATGCTTTAAAAAATACTCACAGAACTAACTATGTTGATAAAATACTATTGTTGGAATTACATTTTAAAAATTCATTTGGAATAGCGTACATTGATCCTAATTATTTCAATGTTCCCAAGAAACTGTATTATCTTACTGATACAATAAATTTTAATATTCTTGGAAAAGTGCAGTATGAAAAAGAAAATATTTTGAGAGTAATATATAACGATTTTGAAATTCCAAAAGAAAAAAGAATGATTAAATTAGTAAATAATTTAAATACATTATTTTCAAGTGATACTAAATTTTACGCTGATCGAAAACCAATTGTTAGAGGAGGTTTACCAACTGATGATATTCCGTCAACTTCAAAGGGATTAAATTTTGGAAATACGATAAAAAATGAACAACATATTGTTAAAGAAAAATTGCCAACTAATAATATTCCGTTAACTTCAAGGGGATCTGGACTACTTACTTATTCGAAAGGAAATTTACCATCTAATGATATTGACTTAGTTAATAAATTTTTGGAAAGAATAGGCTGGAAAATGAATACCGAATAAAGTTGGAAATTTTATCGAGTCATTCTCAAAGTCACGGAATATTAAAACTGAATTTAAAATGTCAATAAAATTATTGTTTAGCGATGCATCAGTGAGATGCTCCCATGTTATAAGGAATTGGAGAATTTAAGAGGAAAAAAATTTTTATTTTAATGATCTTACCTTTTTGTACTTATATATATATAATCTTAAATTCTGCTCTAATGATATCAAAATTTTTCGATATTTTCAAAATGTAACGAATTTATTATTATATTGAACTTGTTTTTATCTGTTTAAAAAATTTAGCCTGAAGAGGTTGGCAAACCTTAGCCAACGAAACATCGCTCTTTTGACGATACACTTTTTGAATTTTTATTTAACTTTTACCTTTCCATCGTTTACTTTATTAACATTAACCAATTAAATGATTATTTAAATATACAATATTAATGAGGAATAATAATCTTAACATATATTAACTAATTAAATAAAAACTAATAATTAAATATATATTAAGTAATTCATAATTTGAAAATTAAATTTCTTATACCGCAAATCAAACTTTTTGGTTGCTACCAAGAAATTGTATGTTTTGTTAACGTATTATTAAAGTTGTTATTATTATAATATATAGTAATATTTATTTTAATCAAAATCATTTTTTAATACTAATTATAAATTACAAACGTGTAATTTCAGAAATAATAAAAAGAGATAGAAGTCATTCATAGATAACACTATAGACAAGTACACATGAGAAAAATAATAGTAAGAGAGGAAAGATATAATTTCGAATATAAAGAAATTATTAATTTAATTTAAATTTAAAGATTTTTTATTAACAATATTAAAAATAAATATAAACTATAATTAAATTAATTAACTATATTTTTTATTTTTTATTTAAAATAATACAAATTATTTTATTTAATTGCTTAAATTAATAATATTAAAGTAAAAATTATATGTCACATAAAAGTAAAAATTATTTAAAAATTAATGGTAAAAGTAAAATCTTTGTCAAATTATTATTTTGCTTCCTCGTGGAGGAAGCTATGTAGTCCTTTCGTTTATAAACTTTTTAAAAATGGTGAAAACAAATTTTCCTCTATATAGAAACATGTTATATGAGATCCTGATCAATTGTCCGGATGTATGTATGTGTGTGTGTATGTGTGTGTGTGTGTGTGTGTGTGTATGTGTGTGTGGATCGTTTTTGTGAACACGATATCTTTAACAGGTTTTAATGGATTTGGATAAAATTTGGTAGGCTTATTTAACACATTAATCTCTCAAAAATGACGAGAGGATTTTTAAAAATACCCCAAAAAAAAAATTTTATCGTCTTTTTTCCAAAAATTTTTTTTTAATTGAAAAAATTTTTAAATCGAGAAATTTAAGGTAATATATAATATAATCGTCTTCTTTATGTCAAGATGAATCGATTGATATATATAAAGTATAGATTTGATTGAAATTTAAAGAATTAAAGAAAGTTAAAAAATCAAAAATTCTCATTTTAGCTAAAAAATGATGTGTTTATTTAAATTCATGTTTATATATGAAATAATTTTATTCCCTGCATTGAAACGAATTGGTTGGTATATATAAAGTATAGATTTGATTTAAAATTTGAGAATTAATAAAAATTGAAAAATCGAAAATTCATATTTTAGCTAAAAAATTTTGTGTTTTTTTAAATTCAAGTTGATGAATAAAATAATTGTATTCCTTGCATTAAAACGAATCGATTCGTATATATAAAGTTTATGTTACACTCAAAATTAATTAAAATTTTCTTTATATTTCAAAAAATTTAATTAATTTAAAACATTTTTAACTCGAAATTTTTTAAATCAATCAATTGAATTGGACAAATTCATTGCTTCCTTCACGAGGAAGCGAATTTTTTGCTTCACACAATGAGGAAGCATAATGTTTATGAAATAAACATAAAGGACCCCCTCCTTGTTTTAAGATATTAAAGATTTAAAGAAACTATATTAATAATTGAGAAATGATTGACAGCTGGACAATGGCATTGTTCTCTGTATACGTTATAACGGAATTAGAAAGAGAGAAATCGCTCTGTCCTTACCAAAATAATTTAAATATTATTGGCTAAGAAAATAGGACGCCGCGAAAAATGCGATTAGAGGGAGAATTTGGCGGTAAGAAATATACAACAAAAGTATACGAAGAAAGGTAGGAAGGGAAAACCGCGGATTTTCAAGCAATCAGCTGTTAGAATTTCTCTTACACACTTACCAAATTTAAACCTACACAAGATAGAGAGAAATTTGGGGGATGAAGCGCCTTCTCGAGTCAATGAATAGAGAAGGAGACCCAAATTTGGACATTCTCTGAAATTTATTCAAGCGATCAAATATAGGTTATTTATACTAAATTTTTGACAGATAGTTTTTTTTGTGTTGAGTGATTGAAAATTTTGTGATTGGATTTTACGTTATAAAAGTAAGTTCTAAAGAATAAAGAACAAGTGCTCAATATAAACTCTCTTTATTATTAAAAATATTAATTTTTTTAATTATTTATATTTTTTATTTACCTTTTATATAATCTTATATAATGTCTGAGAGGCTGGTTTAACAACCGTTCCAACTCAGAATTATATAAGAAATAAGCGTTTTAAATAACTTATAAATTCAATATTTAAGGGGTTACGCCACCCTGAACGCATGAAAATCGGATGGTTTTTTAGGAATTTTTTTGACAAAACTGTTAGAGGTAGGACTTATTTACATTTATGGATGCTTTAATACATATATTAAGCTTTATAAATATTTAAAAAAAATGGTTTTTAATTAAAAATGGCTGATATATAAGTATTGGCGTGGATCAATTTTTCCGGAGCACTCCTTGATGGTGTACCTGATTGGCAGTTCAATTTTTGTCTGAAACAAGTAAAACAATATTTTTCTTAAAATGTGACAAATTTTAAACAGAGTGACGAAGCCATTTTAAAAAAAAATGTTTTTACGCAAATGGAAGCACTTCAAAAATTGACATTTTTTTGGGCTAAAAATACCGTCTAAAAAATTGGATAAAAAATTTTCAAATTATTCAATCGAAAAAATCCCACGTCACTCTGGAAAATCTATTTAGGAAGATGTATATTAATTTGCAAGTCAATCGGTTGAATTGTTTTTGAGTTATCGTGTACACCGTCTCGAAAAATGTGGTTTCGAGAAAAACGCAAAAGAAGAAAAAAATATACTTTAGTGTATTATAACTTGAAAATTTTTTAACTTACTATTTAATCAGCAATTCCTGGGCCATAATACTTTTCTCCTAGAATGGAAAGAATGTCCTATGATCTGAAAATGGAAAGTCGTTAAGGAGGCGCTAGACGGCTTCTAGCAGCTCTCGGCGCGTCCCTACCCGCTGACTTCTAAAGATCATAACTTTTGTAATTAGTGAAACATTGTCTTCGGAGACATCTCAAAATATTCGTTAGAATATAAATTTTGAAATTAAGCAAAAAAAAATCAATTTTTTGAAAATTTCAGGGTGGCGTAACCCCTTAAAGTCAAGATTAGGCAAGTAGAAGAAACAAAAAGTGAATAATCACTTTAACTCAAACCATAAAATCTACAAAGTCAAGCCATGGTGAAAGACTTAAGGGGTTTCTGATAACTCGGAGTACCACCTTATTATCTGGATCCTTAAGTGGTAACAAAAGCAAATCGTAAGTCTCTTGAAGATATATATATCTCAAATTCATTGCAATAGGCGATCAATTTGTCAATGTGTAAGATTCAATTGATTATGAATCCCTGCCCTCCAATCAATTAGTTAATTTAGGGAATAAATAATTTACTTAAATTATTTATTTAGCAAATTTTCAGATGAGTAAATGACTTTTTCATTTATTTTCTATTTCACTTTGATCATTTTAATGTGTTGTAAAATAAATAACATATTAAATAAATCTAAGTCTAAGGAAAATACTTGCAAAATTAATTTACTTATGATAGATTAACTAATTTAAGGAATAGGGAACTTGACCTTGATAGTCGATGGAAATTGACAGGTTTCTTTTATTTCGTTGAAATTTTATTTTATATATTTTTTTTATAGAGATAAACCTACGAGATAATTTTGAATTTCGATTGAGGAAAAGCGAATTTGTTAGAAAGAAGTCAGATAAAAGGTGAAAAATTTAAGTTAATTAATAAAATTATTTCATTTAATTTCATTCAGAACGAACTCACAATTAATTATTCAAACTTAAATAATAAATAGTTATACTATATGATTGATTGTATATTTTATTTTTCTATTAATAATTAATATTTATTTTTTTTGTAAAGTAAAAATATTCAACTTCAAAACGATATATGACATTTATACATGTATAAAAGTAGAAGTGTATAAGAAAATAAACAGCTGATCTACCGAATAATTATAGGAAAGATTCCTCTAATTTGGTAAACAAGCAACAAGTTTTCTAAAAACAAAATAAATATTTTCTTTCAAATATATCTATAGAAATAATAATTTTAAGAATTGATCTAATTTAAATAATTCTATTATATTATTACAATCATATCTGTTGATATAGCTGGCACGTGTCCATTGTATCAAATAATTAAATTTGAAAATACAATGTCCCTTTAAATTTAGACAATAGCCATTCTTTCTTTTGTATAAACTTACGTAATGTGGGTGATTACTATCTAAACATTTATGTTTACGGTCATTCAACCACATTTTTGAACTTATTAATTTCTCAGAACCGAACCAAATCAGGGCTAAGACTGATAAGAAGGTAAACATAAACACGTATAATAGTATATATCCCCGGTGTGAGAGTTAATAATGCTTCAACTGGTACCCTTGGTGTTTTCGTTTTCTGAATGAATTTGAATTGAATGAAATTTTTTTTCTTTCTCTCTTTCTCTTTTTCCTTTAAGAATATAAACTACGCAAAATAATAGGGATAAGTAGAATTAAGAGAGTGCACTGAAAATCATTCACAATTATAGAGATATTGAATAAATAAATATAAAATTAAATATTTTTTTTTGTTTTTGTTTTGAATATTTAAAATGGATCCCGAACAAAATAAAAACAATGAAGCATCAAAATCTATTTCAGATAAAGAAAATAAATCGTCTTTAAATGAAAATAATGATAAAGTAAAGAAAACAGGTACAATACCTAAAAAACAAAGTAAAAATAGAGGATTTTTAGAGGTTTTCGATGAAGAAATCACTCAGATTTCTCTTTTTGATAGTGATGAAGAATATGATTTTAATGATGAGGAACAAGAAATATTAAATAAAACTAAAAAAGATTTTGATGATTTCATAAAAGAATTGGGAATTATCTTAC